TAACCTACGCATTTCAGAAAATATGCATAGGTTTACTGGTCTATGGTTTAAATGAATATTCTTAGTTACTTCAAATTTCCTCTTCAAATAAGGGTAGCTACTAAATGTACCATTTACTGTACCCAGAAGAGTTAGTCAACGTTCAAATATTTCATAAGGTAGCATATGACCAAGAACTGATGATTTTGAAGGAAGAACACCAATTTGCAATGTAGGCATTAGTGAAAACCAAGGCTCAAAGAATTCAAAGAATATCAGTTGAAATGTTTAAAAAAAAAAAAAATTATATAGTATTGGGAGTATGAATAAGCTACATGAGGTGTAACGTTAACATGTACTCTAAGCATAGCAGTACCATGACTCTAGACATGCTGCAATGCAGTGAATTACTTGATATGGTTCTTCCAGACAGTCTCTCTGTAATTCCTACCAAATGACTTGGGTTGTTGTAGTTGTCAAGTCCTGGTGAGTTGGTTCTGACTCACAGAAACCCTGCATTGGATTTCCGAGAATGTACATCTTTACAGGAGCAGAAAACCTCATCTTTCTTCTGTGGAGCAGCCAGCAGGCTCAAATCAATAACCTTTGCAGTCCAGTGCTTACCACACAGAACCACTGTGCTCCCAAATGAGTGGGCAGAACAATGCAAATGTAAAGTGTTTGTTACCCATCAAGGAGACTACAGAGTTTGCGAAAATGTAAATAAGGTGAGGCACCGTGCAAAACGGGTGATTGTAACTCTAATGTGAGGCCTGGTTAGATGGGACATGCCTTTAGATTACAAAGGTGCCATCTCAGAAGCAGAGCTCTCTCTACCATAAAGAAAGAGCCAAGAACAGAACATGTCCTTTGGACCCTGAGTAGCAGTGGCAGCACAGGCAGAAGCCCAACACCATGAGACAGAGTAGTAGGCTTCCCAACCCATGAAGTGGGAAAGCTAAGTACCTTTGGACAGGAGGCTTGCTTGTGGGTTGGGTTGCCTTCAGACTCTTAATCAAGGGAGCTAGGCTTGCAGACCCATGGAGCTAGAGTAAAATGCTTTGGGGCTGTAGCTTATGGGAGGGACACGCCTTTTAGGGCATTTATTAGCAGGGTCAAAAGAACTTAATAACATTGCCCAAGCAAGGCAGAGGCAAAGAGGTATTATGGCTGAGAGCCCAAAAACCAAAGAGGCCTGCCTATAGGCACACTGAGGCAACCCTGAGCCAAGAACTATATCCTAAGCATTTCTGATCCTAAATTATAACCCATTAACTTCCCTGATAAACTCCATAATTATGAGTGTTGCCTGTAAGCCATTATAATGGAAAATAGGACCCAACAGAGAAATAAAGTGCCTTGAGGGGTGTGAGAATTGGTAAAGAAGTTTGGAGGGTGGCGTCATGTCTGATTTCTGCCTCATAGGAATTGGCCCTGAGCTGATAGTGAATTTGATTTTATTTCCCTGCTTGTGAAGTCAGAGGAGCTCAGATGCTGGGTCCATGCCATTCGTACACATATACTAATCTAGAATCTGTACACTGCCAGGTTAATCTTTTCCACTTATTTATTTGAAACTATTTAACTATCTAAGTCAAATGTACAAACAGGCATTTAATAAATATCTTAGACATTAATAACAGATCTAATCACAAATACTATAGTACTTGTATAAAGGTATTCAGATGCAAATTCAAATTTGTTGTTGTTGTTAGGTGCCATCGAGTCAGAACCGACTCATAGTGACCCCATGCACAGCAGAATGAAACAATCAATGTCTGATCCTGGGCCAACCTCA